GACACTCAAGACTGGAGAGAAAAAAAAAAGCAAGCTATCATATTAGAAAGTGGCATTCAGCATTTTAAGCGTGACTCCAATCCCAAAGTATATTAAACTGAATGCTGTAAGAATGTTGTTTTCATACAACATAAATCTCTTAGATTTATCTGAATAGATTCGCAGATATATTTAAGCTACTTCAAATTCCTCTATAATTCTTGATAGTTATGAAGATACCATTTTAGCACTTTTGTCAACAGAATGCAAGGGACCACTTATTTTCAGCCTAGCTGAGCTACACTGTACATTGCAAACTCTTAAGTCAGACTGACTGGGTTTAAGATCTTGCATATCCTAACTCCTCCATGGGCTTGCAATTTTATTTAACCCTCATGCTCCTGTCTTCCTAGCTTACAAATAGTAACACGTAACATCCTGAGCTATTTTAAGGAATAAATGAACTAATGTGGGTAACATATTCAGAATAATTAATGAGTAATATCAAAATGAGTTCATATTCAATATGCAAAAATGCCTTCTTTCAAAGAATAGCCAGAATACGGAGTAAAACAATGTTCTCAGGCCAACAATGTAGAGAATGAAAGGTAAAGGGCAGAGATGGCTCACTTAAAAGTGGGGTTCCAAAAGTGGAACACTCTATAACCCCAACATTGGGAAGACAGAGACAAGACATCACTGGTGCTTGGTAGTGAGCCATTCTAGCCAATTAATGAGCTCCAGGTTCAGCGGAAGACCCTTTAACAAAACAGGATGGGCCAGCAAGATGACTCAGTTGGTAAAGGTGCTTGCCACCAAGCTTGACGACCTGAATTCAATCCCTGGGTCACACAGAGTGGAAAGGGAAGAATACTTCTGCAAGTTTCCTCTGACCTCCAAATAGACACCATGGAACACACATGCCCCCTTTGGTGTGTGTGTGTGTGTGTGTGTGTGCATGTGTGTGTGTGTGAGTGAATGAATACATGTAATTACAAAATTATAAATAAAAAGACGAGTGGTTAAAAAAAGATGCCATGTCAACCTCCGGTCTCTAACGCACGAACACTCACATACACAAAGTGAAGAATAAGTGTTTGGCCTTTACATGACCTAAGTGACTTAGGCTGGACAGGATGAGTTTCCATCATTGTTCTGTTTCACAGTTAGGTTATGGCAGCATCGGAATAGGCAGAAGGAAGATGACAGGGACGGTGTCACTCAGGAGGGAAGCACTGCCTGGAGTAAAGACTAAAAGGATTAATGACAAAGGTATTCTCCAGAGAGAGAGAGCATGCATGTGAACCTTCTCATGATGAGGCCACCCTACACCACTACTACAACTTCCTTAAAGGTCTCAATGTTTGGAATCAATTTTCATACATATGGCTTGTATCTACACTCTAATGTTTAAAAACAAAACAAAATAGGCAGTAGAGAAGGATATCAAATAGCCGCTATCTCCCAAGGAACCGATTCCTTCACAAAACTCCATGTTGGCAACATCTTAAGATGAGTACTGTATTCTGGGAAGGAAAAATAAATAAACAAAACACAAGTTTGCACGTCACCTAGGTAAGAGGAGCAAACCGAGTATTCCGTGCACCAGAAAGGCTGCTCTGTAACTCCCTGACCAATCCTGTCAGTCCTGAGAGCGCCTTGGAACGGGCTGGGTTTCCTGGACTTCAGAGCAAGCACTACCTCCAGAATGAGACTCATACACGGGTGGTTCGCAGAGTGAGGAAGTCCATAAAGGGTTCAGGTGCTCTCACACTTTCATTAGACAAATCAAAGCAATTAGTCTCCTCTTTAGAACTGAGATACTTAAAAGATCTCTTGAGTAGAAAGTGTTTTCTTCAGGTAGGAAGAGAAGGTGCCACAGGGCTGCTCAAGCCAGGAATTACAACCTATGAATCAGAAAAGGTGTGGCAGGAAGTTGGGAGTATGGAGGGTGCTTTACCTTCAGTTTTATGAGCAGATTATACTGTTTTGAAACATAGGAACACAAGGAGAGAGAGAGAGAGAGAGAGAGAGAGAGAGAGAGAGAGAGAGAGAAGGAATTGTTCTCAAATAACATTAAGAAAGTGCCAACAGCTATAAGAAATGGAGAGAAGATGAGAACGCATGTAAGTCATATGACCCTCAGTGCCTATAACGTTAAATGTGTACGTTCTTTGCCGTAAGTGTACCCCTCTAGTTATCGGAAGCAAATGCCATCATCTAGTCTGCTTAATGACATGGTCTCTTCTGCACATGATCCAGTGGAGATCACAACTCCCCCAGCAAACACTCTCTTCTAAGAAGAAAACAAATCAGTATGACATGGTGTGGATTCAATTACCACTCGGCAGGTCACAGGTAACTTTTAAACATCCTTTGTCTCAGTTGTAAAGCGTCAAAACGTACCTAAATGACAGTATCGGGGCGCTATCCTTATACTTTACCAGCAGGAATAAAACTTGCTGTCTGGAGGCATAAGCTTTGATTTGAAAGGCAGAAAAACCAAATGGTGTTCTGTATCAGGGCTGTTTCCTTTATGTAGTGTCTTGTCCTAAGTGGATTCCTCGCTGAGTGTATTTGAAACCAATCATCCAAAAATTATCCTCAGATTTTCAGATTTTTTTTTATATTAGGTCGAGAAGCAGAGAGAAGTTAGAGGGGAAAGAGATGGTGGTACTGCTATCATGGCAACAGATATATGGTAAATACGGTACGAACAATGCTCCAGAATCTCATACACATCATACCACCAAAGCATATAGAGTAACTCTATATGTGCTGTTCGCTAAGCTATAACATCTTGGATCGAACCCACAAGAGAAACTGTTGATGGGCTACAGTTATGTGTCAATGGGAGAGCACTTGCCGGGCATGCACAAGGCACAGGGTCCAATCCCCCAGCACCCTCAAAGAAAAGGTTCTCAGAACTATAAACTTTTGACTTGCAAATACAAAAATCTACCTATAGAACCCATTAACCATACACAGCACAGTGAAACCGCTAGTCAAGGACGCTGCACAAATCCACAGCATCCTGGCTTTAATGCACCATACTTTGCGGAGACGACAAGACTCAATATGGAAAACTTCAGTTTTACCCACCTGTCCAAAGCTAGGTGCAAGCAAACCCACTGGCTGTGTAGCCTTTGTGATGCACATTTAATAAACGAGCTCCAAAAGCGGCTAAAGGTGAATGGAAATGTGACAAGAGAAACGCTACTCGGATTTACTGCTCCATGTGTCTCGGGCTTCTCTACGATCTGTGCAAAACATTTGCTGTAAATAAGCCTGCAGAGTGTACAGTATGTTTTCCAGAAGACCTTTACAGAACAGCTTGCAGACAAGAGGTGCTAGCCTTGGTTTCACAGCCAGAAAAACTCCATCCAAGAGGCTGTTGGCATGTTCCCACCTCTTGTTTTGAGCTGGCTTAAAGACAACTCCACAAACCAGTTTCCAAGACCCAGTACCTGGAGTCAGTCACCCTGAGCTATCCCCCACACTGGGAACAGCAAGTATAAACTCAAACTCTGAAGGAAAAAATGGGGGAAGGGAGGCACCCCCACTTTCACCCTAACAGTATAAAAACCACTCAGAGTTGACTGAGCTGTGAGGCAGTCTCCAGTCTCCGTAGTAAATTAAATGGCTGAAGCGCGTGCTTTCTTCCAGCCAGAGAAAGAAACATGCCTCGCTGTAACAGTGTGTGGGAATCACTGAAGCTCTTTTTTTTTTCCCAGCCTTTCCTGCTTTTTATAAACCTGCTCCGTTTAAAAAATAAAAAGTTCAGGAAATGAAAAGCAAATAAGCACAGATCATACAATGGAAAACCTCTATCCATCCTCTAAAATTCTTCTTTCCAGGCAATATAACTGCCCTTAACACCGCTAGCTGCTATAAAAATGAGATTATACCAGTTCTTGGGATCGTTGTCAATCCTTCAAAAAGCCTCACCGCTACCAGGAATATGCTGAGGTGGAGATAGAGGAGAAGGTGAGGTGCTCAGCTCGGTGCCACCTCTTGCTAGGCAAGCATTAGGTAAAATGTTTAATGCAATCGCATATTCTAAGCCCGCTGGATGCTGGATGGCAAGCAGCAAAGAAGGTAAGGTAAGGAAGGCCAGGGAATGAAAAGCTCCTGCATTATTTCAAAGGTAGCCACGGCACCGGGGCTGTCTGAAACTGCCTGTGATCAGCTTCAAAACAGGTCCGTGGGGGTGTATCTTTAAGTTGATGCTCTGCTGGAGTGCAGCGGATCCTGGTGGTGGTGGGGAAGGTGGGGGGGGGGGGTCCTGAGCTTAAGAGAAGCAGCGGAGATGTCCCTGCTGCTCAGGGAGGCCCGCGCTTCCTAGCTGGAGTAAGCACCGAGTAGGGAGAGGATGCGCCCCGGGAGTGGAGCCTCGGGCCAACAGCTTATCCGGCTGGGCACTGCAGGCGCTGTTAAACCCTGGGGTTACACACAGCTCCCCAGAGCTCCCGCATCCACGCGGCCTCTGAGAAGCAAAGCCAGTGCTGACTTAGAGCCAGAGCTAGGGTCGCCCGAGGGGTACTGGGCTTGGCGCAGAGCCAAGTGACCAGCTCCGCTGCTTCCCCTAAAGGGAAAAGAGGCGCAGTCTCTATTAGAGCCCACTCGCTTGCCTCTTTTCCCTATGTACTCCCTAAGATCATCGTGGGCGCCCACCCAGGAACGAGCTCGCCCAAGAAGGAAAAGTGGAGACGGCAGAGGAGAGCGAGGATGTAGTAAAGACAAGCTATCCAGCCTGCAGCAAAGAGGGAGGGTTCGGGAAACCGAACAGGTACTGAGACTCAAGGGTAGGGGCCCAGGTCACAGCAACCTGTAGGATTGAGGCAGATAGCAAACTTGGATGGGAAGGCAGGGGTCCCCTGGAGCTCCTCCACCCGTTCCCACCGAGTCGCGCTCCGCACGCGGAGAGAAGCAAGCACAACTTGGGCGGCCCACGCCGAAGGTGCGGGTCCCGCTCCTCCTCGGTCCGCTCCTCTGCGCACCGCCGTCCACCCAGCGCTTACCTCGGGCAGCCGCGGCCCCCGCCGCCCAGAAACAGAGTCCTAGCCACGGGAGCCAACGGCGCGCTCCGCAGCCGCCGCCCGCAGCCGCTGTCCCCATGCTCTGAGCTCCGCTCGGGCTGCACTCCTCTTCCACACCCCGAGAGTCCGCAAGGCACGACGGCGGGGGAGACCACCGCCAGTAGGTTCCCACGGGGGGTGGTGGTCTGTGGTGAGTCGAGCTTCTCCACCGCCGTTCCCTACGGAGCGGAGACCCCGGATGGGCCGCGGGACGGAGCGCCCGTCCCCATTGCCTCCTGCGGCGCCGCCCGCCGTGCCCGCTGCTGTGCGGACCGCAGCCCCAGCGCCTGTCAGGGTCCGGGACTACCAAGCTGAGCCAGGAGACCGCATCGCTAATGAGCCCCGGGGCCGCCCCTGCTCCGCCCCTCGCAGCGGCCACCAATGAGCCGCGCCGGGGCGGGACGGAGGGCGGGACCGAGAGCAGGCGACGCAGGTGAGCCCGCAGCAGGCCGCACGTGCAGACGCAGCCTCCCCTCAGCGGAGGGCCCGCGCGTGAGGGAAGGCAGCGCGCCCGAGCCAGCGGCCTGAGGCGAGGACGCGCGCCCGCCGGCAGCGAGCTGTGCGGAGCGGCCTCTTGGAGGCGAGCGCCCAGCGGCGGGATGGAGGCGTCTTGGTTGCTAACTCCGAGTGAGACCGAGGCTTCCAGGAAACAGAGGTTTTACTAAACTTTAAGTCGACTCTGCTATTTCCACTTTCTAGCCAGAAGAAGGCTAGAACAAGAAAAAAAAATCATAAACCATTCCTAACTGTGGCCAAAGAAATGAATTGAGGGTGCTTGTGGATGTATTGGATCAAGTTTTACTTTGCTTTGTTTTAAGGAAGCAAAAACTCCCCATTTTTCTCTTCTGTTATAGGTGTGTCCTTCAGGAATTCTCAAAAGTTCTCAAAAGTTGCCTCATTGCTGGTCCCTTATATATTTGTTCATTTCAATCTGGGCTCTGGAAATTGCTTTTCTAGTAAGTAAAATGAAAGTTAAAAACAGAGAGAAAGGGAGGGAGAGAGACGAGAGGGGGGAGAGAGAGAGAGAGAGAGAGAGAGAGAGAGAGAGAGAGAGAGAGAGAGAGAGAGAGAGAGAGAGATATGCACAAAGCCTTGAGAGAAGAAAAAGATTTTTAAAACACCCACTTGTTTAAATCATTTGTTTGTTTCCTCTTTTTTAGGTGGTTAAATCTTTCTTTAACTGAACTTGGACCTAGAAGGGCCTTAGAGTTGTTTTTGATCCTCTGCAGTAGACTACTGGTTTTAGGCAAACAACCCCCTTCTCCAAGACAGTTGCTTTCCTGTCCAGGGCTCCACAATGAGATCATGTCTTTCTGTCTGAAGCCATCAAAATGCATCGAAGACTCAGCTGATCAGAAATCTAGGCCCTCCCTTCTCTGGTAGTCTCCGTAAGAGAAGGAAAACTTGGCTTGAAAGACAGCATTGCCAACTGTTCCTTGATGGCAATCGAGGGCAGTATTGATAGATGCAATAATACAAAGCAAACAAACATATCTTGCCAAAGTGCTACCTGCTCCCAAACACCTCTCTATGGAGAATAAACAGTTTAAAGTAAGGTGATTGTTGAGAATGAGGTAACTGCACTCGCTTACTTTGTCCTAAAGACAAAGAGGTTGCAAGACAGAAAGATTGATTACCTGATAAGCACTTAGACCATCCCCCACCCCCACCCCCTCTGAGGACACAAGGCTTGTGAATGTCAGTGGAAGGAGCTGATTTTTTCCTACAGAGCTCTTGTAGCTCAATAACTTGTTTGGGTCCTGGGTAAGAACCAAGCTCTGGGGAATGGATACTTCAAAGCAAAGACTGATGTGGGGCTGGCAAGGGACTCGCCTGGAAATCTCTTTAGAATCTTGGTAAATGAGGGGTTTGTCCTTTTCTTCTGAGAAGGTGAATTGAAAATTAATCTACCAAATATGCTTCACCTGTCTTTCAGAAACCAATCATTCATCGCCTGCCTTTCTGTATTCCTCAAGACTATGTGGAAGCTGTTACTTGTGTTATTTGTATGGTTGGCTTTTTTTTTTTTTAAGAAAAATAGTTAAATTTCCAAGAATCTATGACTGTAGTTAATTCCTAACTATTGTCCCCACAGGGAGCAAAAGTAAAATCAGTTTATTTTGGGAAAGAGTCTGAGAAACAGATAGGCAATTTTATATTAATAATTCCAACTGAAATGATGGATGAAAGAAAAGGAAAGCAAATTACCTTTGAACAAATAAACCACAGTCTCACAAGCAGGCCTTCACACATGTTTCTAAAGAAGACTGTACAAGGCAGGTGTATTATCACTATCTGAAGAGAAGGATAGTGAAATTGACTTTCCAACATAAATTTCCCAAGGTCGATGTAAGTAAGTAGTTGTTGAACGTCAAGAAAGAACAAGAAGAACAATGTCCATTTTGTGTAATTTAAACTCAGTGAAAACCACAGGCACATCTGGTCAGTGAGGTTTATTTAGTTATTGGATGAACAGAATTGTTACCTGAAGTGTTGCATAACCTGTACTAGACACTACATATTAATTATGAAGTATATCCAAATTTCCTGTGTTAGCTAACTTCAGATATTTTAAAACACGGACAACTGTTCCATTTGTATAAGTAACCATATCTGTTTGGACAAAACAGTTGAGCAGTTGTCATTCATGATTAGTTCCTCTATTTAAGCAGCAAGAGCATAGAATGTGAGCCCTGGGACTGATGAGATGGATCATGGGTAAATGCGCTTGCAGCATGAGCTGGTCCACTCTCCACTAGAGCTTCATGCAGGGATCTAGTAGAGAAAGACAGCAGCTATTCTGAAAAGGTGCTCTCTGACAACTACAAGTGTGATGTAAACACCCTTGCACGTGCACACACACACACACACACACGTATGCGCGTGCACACCATAATGAAGAAAAAGAGGGGAGGGAGGAAGAGGTAATAAGTACCCTAAGAATCTAGATACAAAGGGACTGAAACCCTCCCTGCCAAGAGCTGGCTGACTGGCTGGCTTAAGACTGGCAAATCAACTCCCCTCCCCGTTTCCTCGACTACAAACTGATCACTTGCAACCAATTCAATTTTACAACCAGTTACATTTAAAAAACTATCAATTTTTAACTCTGCCTATCATGATTTTGAATACGAGTTACTCAACTGCTTTGGAAATTAAGCTCTGTCTTCTGGAATTGAAATAATTGTTTAACAAACACCTTGTGTTCCAGAGAGATTATTTTGGATTATAGCTAAGCTATAACATTAACTATAACCCAGTATGTATTAATAGGATCAGGTTGCTGTAACAAAAAAACTGAAGGGTGATTAGCTTTTAAATAATAGAAATTTATTTCTCACAGCTATTAAGAGCTAGTGGATTCAGTGGGTGCCCTGTCACCCACATTATCTCACAGTGGAAAAGTGAAAGTCGGGCTTCTTATATAAAGGCATTGATCCCGTTCATGAAGACTCCAACTATATCACCTACTAAAAGTCCTGCCTCCCATGACCGCCATCTTGGTAAAAATAGACTTCAGCATATAGAGGGGGTGAAAGCACAAACATTTAGACCAAAGCTAACATTAATTCAAGGAAGAGAATCGGTAAAGTGTTATATTTTTATATTTTTGTTCTTTGAATTGATGATGCTAATTTTCTAATAATTCATCCACAAAGAAATCAGGTATGAAATTTTGACTTCTATCATTTTTGGGTTATCTCTACTTTCAAAAAGTAAAAGTAAAAATATGAAGTGACTCACTCACACTAAGAGGAGAGGAGATAACTACTGAATCTGGAGAGGTATGCGTTCAAATATGAGTATTTTTCATAGGCCTTGAGTTACACTTCTCTAATGTCTTCTCTTGTTTCCCTGTTGCTGTGATACAAACACTGTGCAAAGTGACTTGAGGGAGGAAAGGCCTTGTTTGCCTTCTAGGTTATTTATACTCCTTCACTGAGAGAAACCCAACCAGGAACTCAGCAGGAACTAGGAATGGAAGCAGAGTCAAGAAGGACAGCTGCTTCCCGACTTGCCCCTATAGCTTGTTCAGTCTTCTTTACTGTAGAACTCAGGACAACCTGACCAGAGGCGATGGAGGACGATGGGAGCTTTACAGTTATGGGAAGGCTTGTCAAAGATGTGGCCTTTCTTCTTGGAATCCAAGAAAATCGTTATAATTGTGGAGATGGCATCATTCTTTATGACAATGGGCATAGGGATTGTATTTTTAATGAAGATTACTGAAAAATAACAGTAACACTCAAAAAAGAAAAACATCACTTTGGACATGAAAGCATTCAAAATGAAGCAGCAGATATTTTTTGTTTTGTTTTCTCCCCCCCCCACACACCCCCTTTGTTTTTTGTGGATTAGACTCCTTTGAGATCAACACATGACTCATTTAACACATACGCAAAGGCAAGATGCTGAAGACAGTGAGATGATGACCTTTAGGAACAGAACACAGCTATAGCTGAATAGGAGAAAGGCTGAGGACCACTAAAGACTTTCTGGAAGAAGAGCTGAAAATACCATGTGATGAGCTGAAAATACCATGTGCCAGGATTTACCTAACCTATGGGCTGAGTGGGCAATCTGAGATGTAATGAATGTTAGAATTATTCTTTATAGGGGCTTAAAATAACTTTCTTCTCTTGGGCATGGGTCAAGGACCAGTTATCTCTCTACATTTATGATACAATATTGCAGGTTCTTCTCCGTTGAACTTGTCCACTGTTTCTGAAGACCCAACTAATATCTGTTTCTAGCTCTGCAACTGCTGGATGTTTGTGATAGAAGCCACTGTCTCTATTAAACATACAATTATGCTAATACATGTGGGAAGACTAAAATGCACTGGACGAAAGGGCAACAGCTGGCGACTTCAATTGGTGAATTTGGCCACACAATTAAATGAGATATTTTACACATTTCCCCCGGGAATGTTGCATGTCAGTCATTTCCCAGTATAGTCTTGTTCTGTTAGAGCAGCACAATTCAGAAATGCAAGCAACTTATGGTGAGCACGCTGTCATTTACTCAGGACTGCATGCTCACACGGCG